TGGTACCCTGTATACAGTTATCCCTAGAGAATATTCGGATTAAAGAGAACTGGAGCACTGTTCTTTTTGGTATATGAAGACTTTTTGTAAAGTTTCTGTCAGTTATATATAATACTAGCGAGTCGTCCCATCTTTGCAGTTAGGCATTACAAATGTTCGATTTTTGTTTTTATTTTTCTGGCTGCGATTTTGTCTTATACTATGTAAAGTGAATATAATTAACCAGTACTAATCGTTACTTGTCAATCGTCACATAGAATGACTTTCGGCCGGCCCCGACCCAATGAAATTTGGCACAGTTTTCATTAGAGGCATAGATTACAATAGATAGATAGATAGCAATAGATACTCATATTTACAGAGCCAAAACTAGAGCTCTAGCACAAACTGAAAAATGGTATTAGCCTTACAAAGACATGAATAATATAAAAAGTATTGTGAACAACTGAAACCGTATGAGATAAAAAACAATTTAGATAATATTAATTTATTTTAATTAGCTTTCAGTCACGACTGCGTGATTATTATACTAATAAAGAAACAGATGCAATCTCCTTTTACAGTGCAACCCGAAATGTCTATCAATTCTATTAATATTTTTAGATGGAGTATTTAATTATGTTTTTTATTTTTTAAACTGCCTGTTAATTACAAGCACAATAATAAAGAATTTGCTACTTATATGCAGCCATTTCGAAGTGCAGTTACATATAATATACTCGGCAATTTATTATAGATTAAAAATTTAAATAATTGTTCAAGTAGTTATTGACTCTAACAATGATTGTACGAAAGTGCTATTGAAATTAACAATGCAGACGCAGTCAGGTGGTTCAGTGATGCCAGCGCGGCGGTCACGTTACCATTCAACGATGCTGGAATCAGCATTTCCCCAGTTGCAACCTTAATTTGTAATAACTATTACTAAGTTATTCTTTTGGCCTCTCAGCGTTTTAATTCTAGTGTGTGCACATAATATCTAAAAATGGTAATATTGACTGTATCAGTTATAGTGTTTCAATGCAACAGTTATAAATTTCCCGAATGCAGTGCTCATTGAAGAGCTTAAGAATGAGCACTGGCTGAAAAGCTTTCCATCTGTATAGTAATACTCTGTGGTTACAGTTTTCAGGCAACTTTCGGCTACTTATATTCCTCTAATAAACTTAATTCTGCTTATAGTGTAGGTATATAACGTTACTTACCCAATATTGTACTCATTTTGATGAATCTTTTTATAATCGAAACAAACGCTATTTTTTCATATTTTTTTGCGATAGATATGTTATTGGGATCTGTTCAGAAATCTGAGGAAGATAACATTACATAAAACTGAAATCGAAATGTTGTCTAGTGGAGAACGAATTCCATTCTGAAAGCGGTTAATAATAAATGTTACCACATTGTTAATGTTCATTCATGGATTAACAGTGTAGAGGCGGGATTTTCGTTTTTAAATTCCGTTGGCACGTCGTCTTGTATGTTGCATAATTATCGTGACCTCGTGTTTCTATACACGTTTCTATTGCTATGTCATTAGGGTTGTCATTCACACGGGGTTCCGTATTAGATTCCTATTCCGTAACGTTACGAATTAGATCAATGTTCCAGTGGAAAACTTTATACTGAATTTATTATTAACTGAACCCGATTTCGTAGTATCTTATTCGGAATAACAATAGTTTATGTTTTTATTTATAAACTGATCGCAATAAAAATTTGAAGTTAAGCTTTACACATCACATTAGTGAAAATGCACCTAAATCGTTTTTGAAGTTTGCGTTTAACAATTATATTTGTTACCATAATTATTTATTATTTTAGCTTGATAGTGTTCTAGTTGGTAAATTTAATATTAAAATAATTATTAAAATTGTTTTCTCACATATTATATTACAGGCAACAATTAGTTACATTTTAATTATACGTCTATAGATTTATCTTTTTTTTTTAAAAGTAGTTGCACCCGTACTTTTGTACTATTTATTTGTGAACCTATTGGAATTGGTTTAACATAATGTTACGGGAAGTTTATTACAATAAATATTGTTTTGAAATACAACAGTGAAAATACAATATTATGGATTATTTACGATTTCATGATATACGTGATATCATTCAGAAATATTGAGCTTATATACCAAATAACAATAATAAAATGTAACGTAGGGTGACACAGTTTGTGCAGTGCTTAGTAGACAATATTTAGTGTGTCTTACTAGCCTCATTTAATTGCAATTATTACATAGAAGTATCTAGGTAATTATGTCCCATATGTTTCTTGGTCCCATTTCATTTCACTTCTATCAAATCAAACTGCTTCCTTGCAGATTATCGGTCTATCTGAATAAATGAGAAATACTCAATTATTTGATAATATTAAATATTAAAAAAAGAAACTTCTCCAACTTTTTTAAAATTCGATGAAAAAAAGGAAACTGTAAATATATTATTTCAAATAATAGTTTGTAATATTTATTTCTAACTCTTGAAGTTTTAGTCCAAAAATATATAATTATATATACGAAGACAGCCCTGTGTAGCGTGTCCTGTTTTTTTATCTCTTTGCCACAAACTGGTTAAATGTATCAAGCAAACTAGTTCACTTGTTCTTGACTAAAGACTATTCATGAACTCTACTTTTTTCAATATTTTCTATTTAATAAAAACCAATATATCTCGTTGTCAAATATACCTACTATGTTATTTGTATATACATTTTAGAACTAGAATTGATTGACAGACAAACGCTTATATGTTATTATATAATCATCTCATTTATAATCTATATATATGAAGTACCGACGTCCTAAGTTTATGAATGTGTACATTTATATGCTCTACATTCTTCCTCTAACTTCCCAATTTCTATCGTCACACGCAATACCAAATAGTTCTGTAGTCTAACAAAAACTATATATATTTAACTGTTCGTAAGCACATGCGTTAAATAACACGGCGTATGCGTTCAATTTATTTTGCGATAGCGAGGAATTTATTGAAATAACATTGAATTTATTGTTATCGCAGTGGAAATTCATAGATTAACATTTAATGCGTGTTTTTCAGCTATTTTGCAGTAAAGTTTTTAATTAGTCCATCATCGTCTTTATTTGCTTCTTCCTTGTTCTAATTATTCAGGGACGGCTTAATATTTTTCTTTTCCTTTCCCCCCTGTTCGCAGTCATCTCATTATTAAGTCCTTTTCTTAAAAAGGAAAGGAAGGAAAAGGAAAAGCGGACGCTTTTCCTTGTCCAATATAATTTGAAATTAGCGGAATATGTTTTTCTCTTCCTTTCATCTCTGTTCGTATTCGCATACAAATAGTATGACAGTGTTCTTGAAAATTATTACCTCTAGTTAAAAAATGTTTTACATTACCTTTTATGCTCTGATTAGATTAATTACATAATTCTTGATTTGCTTTAAACATTATACGAACCACTGAAACTTAAGTGTTATATAACTATTATTACCTTTTACAATTTATGAAAAGAAATTGAATACATGAAGTGTCAAGTAAATAAATAAATTACTACTACCAGTAGCATAAAGGTTTACACTCATTTATCGACTATGTGGATCAATCACATAACTGCGGATTGAAATTTAGAAAAATCGACTTTAAAATTTTTATTTATAAATGGGTATGTTGTTGAATCGAATATAGATTTTTTTATTATTTAAGCGTACAATATGAGATCAAAAGAAAAGTATGTATTTAAATTAAAAAATAAATGATTCGCAATAGGAAAATATTAACACTTAAAAAATACGGACGAATAATTACTATCTATATGCTAATAAGGCAGGCTATGTTTCTATTATTGCATATAGTCTGTATTACCTACTGGTTAACCTTATATTCGTAATATGAGGTCAATATCAGTCACGTATATATGTGTTTTGAATGGAGTGCTTGTTATTTATCAAATCGGTGCTTGTCTACATTGATTACTTATCAGAGTTTTAAGATGCGTTTAATAAATATTGCTTACAATTGGCTTATTGTTCGGAGGACGTAACACAGTCCGAATTAAGATTGACCTTGGTAATAATGAAATTGGTTCAACAAACTGTTAGTATATTCAGTAATAATAAATGAAAAGAAAGAGAGATGATTGTAGACGTTTATTACAGCAGAGCACAGTGACAGAAGTGACTATAAAACAAATATATAAAAATGTACTCCTATTTTTAAAATGTATAAACGAAAATACAAAGTTGCCAGTGATTCTCATTGCAGGCAGGCTAACATATTCTATTTAAGTCATAAAAATATCTTAAGACGCTTCTTAATACTGATATTTAATATTGCCATCTTAATTTTCTTTACGTGAAATGGCAAACTGTTGGCCGGATTTTAAGAACTGTTGTAACTGTCATTTATATACAAGAACAATATCATGGACGTCTCATTCTTCCTAGTGAAATCTGTGGTAACTCTCATATGGTACCATTCATGCCTTTGTCCCCTCTAATTTCCCTGTTCTACTTCACATATCAAACTGGAATGCAGTATGCGAGCCAGCACTGGTATACTGTGGAGACTGACAGGTCCGTCATAGGATGTCTAAGGAGGACTAAGTTGTTGTCTCTATACTCTATATATTATTTATTCTTTAATAATTGCATTGTTGCTAAAAATTATGCCAAATTCAATATTAACACGTATTGCTGACAGAACTTTATGCTGTCAATACGTGTTGCAGTAGCAACAATTATACAATACGTCATTCACGTTTCGTATTATGATAGCTGCATACTGATGATGTTGTGTAGGGCGCTATAAGTTTGCTTTCCCTTGGTGAATATAAGAAATCCTTTCATAATGTTAGGTAGATATCCAATAGACTCAATCCACATAATTTTTAATTATAATGAAAGACCAGATAATCAGACAGTATAAGCTTATATTTTTAATTAAAAATCACGTGGTTCGCGTCTGTTGCATGTCAATATCTTATCGATATACCTAACTGGTTTTTTGTTTGTTTCAGATAACTGTATTCATAGCTGGCAGAAATGGCGCGCGGTACTATAGCATTCCTCCCCGTATCTGGGGCCGCCTCTAGTCATAGAATAAGCTACTGTTTTATATATATTTCAATACTCTTTTTATTAGGTAAGTAACTCAAGTCATTACAAGTTTATAAATTTAGAACTTGCGTCCAGTTTTGGATAAAATATCTATTAAATACATTGGGCTTGTCCACTAACCAAAATAGGTGTACTGTTCGTATTACAAAAACTTGATTTTGATGATGTGATCGCTTGGGCATTTACTTTAACAAACTACTCAACAATACAACAATAGTTGAGTTGAGAGTATTATCATTGAATATTTGGTATCAAACTACTAAACGACTGTGTTTAAACAATATTGATAACACGAATATGCATTGAGCAAAATAATTTAAAAAAAAAACAGAAATAATAATAAAATTGGGTATTCTATTTGATTTAATATTTAGAACTAAATCAAAATATTTGAGGTGTGCGTTGTCAAATCAAATTTGATAATTTTATGACATGCGTGTCATAGTAAATGATTGGTACTGCTAATGTAATGGCCAGATGAAAGGAAATGGGCAATTTGCGAGATGGTAATTTGTAATGATAGAATGACCAGAGACCAGATCGGAGCCTAATAGGACCGCGTATACACAGACACGCATATAATAGTTAAATTATGGTATACATAGCACATGTAAGCGTTTTGTTTAATTTGTTATGAAAATATTGGAATTGATAGATGGTAGTATTAAATGATAGAAAATGGGTTACCATTTTCCATCTCTTATAGACACGAATTATACCATCCGCATGAACAATGGGAGTCTGCGGTCTTCCGGCCTCGGGGCAATCCTTTTTACCCCGGTCCACGACATGAAATTTCATGCGTCTGGTATTATAATTATGTTGTTACCCTTAAGAATTGAAGGTAGCATCTCAATGTCTGTGGTGGGCTGCGCTTTGTTATTTTGTTTTCGTTAATAACATTGAAATACGTACCGTATTGTACCGCACCGATTACATCGAAGAACTATCTTAAACGTTCATATCTCTTAATCGATGCAGATTTTCCATAATGTACCCGCGGTTCCGATGTTACTCCCGCCACAATACCTACAAACAACCTACCTACATACCTATACCTACCAACTGCTTACTGTAAAATTATGGAATGCGAAGCTTAAATTAAAAATACAATAGTTCGAATCTTGGCCCTGTCGTGAGTAGGCCGTTATAAGGTATTATGCGGCTGTATCCAGTAATTTCAGATATTCCACTTTTAAAACATTGAAACCGGTACACTTCATGCAACCACGTTGCTTGGTAGCAGAATGTCGATATAATCCCTATAATTATACAGTGCAATTGAATGAGACAAAAATGCCGAATATCGAAATTCTGGTAATAAACTTTCGCAAGCACTGAATACCAGCACAACGCATAATTTTTCTTGTCTCAATTGAATGATGAGTGTAATTTAAAGTTTGTGACACCGTCTAGACGTTTATGATTGTCATCTGTTCAATAGCTCTTAGTTAAATTCGAGCAATGATTTGACTGACCTATGATAGGTCACAACGGTATGTTTTGATACTTACTAAAGGCGAACGTACCTATACTGCTAAACAAATTTTATATACTTCGGAATGTCATAGTTTCGTCTAGCCGTCAGTTGGTTTGCTATTCCTATTACATAAGATACTCTATTCATTCAATATTTAGATTACATTTTGCGTCTAAGATACGGCCATACATACGGCAATTCCTTACAGCCATACTTTTCTCATAGCCATACATAACCATTCTTTTCTCGGCTGGTACATTCCATAATGCGCATATTTTGAGCAAATTAATTTGTATATTAACATAATTATGCACTTGTATACATTGTAATATTAACGTTTTAATGATACATCCAATACTTAATATTTTTCACAAACTTTATCTAAATAAAAATTACGTATCTGTTTGTTATTTCAAGGTAACAGCTTTTCACTAAAAGCTTATGAAAGTTGTATGGTACTTATCAAATTTAATAGGAACATATACAAAGATAATAGGAACCCCTTTTTGGAAATTAAGCGTGAAGAATCAACGTTTATACGAAGATAAATCATAAGCCTATCCTATCCTATCAAATCTAACAACTAAACCTTAATGATTGTTTAAAGGCGCACATTGGTCTGACATACGATTTTGTATATTGTTTGGATTCGTAGTATTAATGTTTACATATAAAAACTGTGACCAGACAGGTTTATAGTTTTATGAAAGCGATTATTTGTTTACCGGAATTTCTCTCAAATACCTCGATGAATGACAAAGAAAAGAAAGCAATTTTTTTTCGTATATTAAAAATAGAGTAATTTTTTATTAAACATCGAAAGTATTATAATTTTAATATAAAATATCATAACATATATATTGTGATATTTTATATTAAAATTATAAGTGAATACTTCACGACTATCAAGTGGGGTAGACAGAGGCATTATCATTATTATTTATTACTGGTGTTGCCATCACCGGACAGTTCTTTTTGTTTCTTTTGAACTAAAACTTTTCGATCTAAGTCGCGGTAGCAAATCACTAGCACCGATACTGTCACAAAATGTATTTCATATTAAATTTATGTTCTTTTCTTCCAGGTTTACCAAGTGCTCACAGTCAAATTAGGAAGATATATCTCGACGCGACAGACATCAATCTCCTTGTTGACGAGACTCATCTCCTGAAACTCGTACAAATGTAAGCATCAAAATATATACAATTCATTTTATTTTTATAATAGAAAATATGTTACATTACATATTTATTACTATTTGTGATTGAAGCGGATTCACTACACAACTATTCAATAAAAGCCAGGTATGAAGTGTGTATATTTCCCAAGAGAGTTCACAAGAAAATCAAAAGTAATATATAAAAAAGAGGTATCAACAGATATCACCATTAGCGAAGCGGCCATTGACATTATTTGTTTATTGTTTGAAGCTTCTTTTATAAGTAATATAACGTTATATATTTAATTCACTTTTTCTTCAGACTAATATTATAAAGGAGGAAGATGTGTATTGCAATGTATTGTAATAATACAAACATCACATTATCATGTGACAGACATCCGCGATACCACTCATGCGTTGCTATAGAGGACTAAGATGTATTGCCTCTTATCCTGTAACTTCACTGCTTAATCTGTACCATGCACCGAAACATAGCTTACAAAGAAATCTGGTTTGCGGCTGAAATAAGTGAGAGGTATGAGGTATGGCGACTATTTACAGTCGATTGATAGCCTCGGTGATCTAGCTTTAATTAATGAGTATGATCGTTTGTATTGATCTGGGTTTTATGTAGATTATGTATGTATTTATTCAGTATTTGTTAGTTGTCTAGTACTCATAACACAAGCTCTGCTTATCTTGCGAGTAATTGAACCTGTATGAATTGTCTTGTGCAAAACTCAGGCACGGTAGCTAATAAACTAATTAATCGTTTATTTTTTACACATTTTAGTGGCCAATATAACATCACATTGGAGGTTACATCAGAGATTCAACATCCCGATATAGTTCAATTGGTCCCCCAAACTGTGGAGATAACGGGTTCAAAAAGGCCCGACAGCAACATTGTGATTTCACATGACATTTGCGCATATGGAAAGAGTCCGGGACACTCCGAAGTCACTTTTAATGTCACGCCTACAGAGTTCGTTAAGTACGTACACAAACATTTTTGTCTATAGTAAGAGTGTTTTTGTCTTCGGTCCAGTTTTCGAATATAAATTGCAACGTTTCAAAAATAGTATCTTGAGTTTGGATACCTTAAATTTAAAAACAAAATACTGTTCATAAAAGTTAGAAAGAAGTTTAGTTCAGACTGACTTACATAATTTTAAAATTTATATATTGCAAATCTAGTTCAATACTGAATAATTTAAAAAAAAAATTAAATTAGACTTTAAATTAAAATTAAGCTATGTAGTGAATTTTTCAATGACTATTATAAAATCACTTCTCAATCGATTTTATTTATTTTACTATTCAAAACAAAATCACTTGCGTTGTACGTTCTTGGCTTATTATTTACTATTGTAATTGTGTGTTTCAGCCTGGACACAGTGTTTTTACGTGTAACCGTGATGCATTCGCACGCCATCAATGTGATCTCCTACATAATGGGCTGGATATATTTCGCAGCGTGGTCGGTCTCGTTCTATCCACAAATCTACATCAATTTCAAGAGAAAGAGTGTCGTAGGATTGAACTTCGATTTTCTCGCTCTCAACATAATGGGTTTCACCATGTACTCATTGTTCAACTGTGGCCTGTATTTTTCCAGAGATATCCAGGTATGGAATAAAGTATTTTCTTCTTAAATATTTCAAAAATAAAATCCAGTCTCCTTTATAATAATTAATAAAAATCAAATATTTACGAATAACATTTTTGTTTTCATAGAAACGATTGTGTTTATAAAATTGTTAGATATTTTTTTCATTGAAGTGTTTGCGGCATACATGAGTTTATTTGAGAAAATATTTTCGATTGATTTTTAAAGGAAGATGCCTTTCAAGTCAGTTCCGTTTCATTCTGTCGCCAAAAAGTATATAAGTAATTTGAAGATAAAAAGAATGTAGTAAAAAAATATTTGTTAAGTCTTTAAATAAGGAGTTTAAACTTAGAACATTATAAAAAGACAATAAAAAATGCTTACTTTTTTATATATATGTACAAACAATCTGACGGTCCGCCTGATGTTATGCGGTAACCGTTTGAACAGCACTACGGACATCATGTTATCATCATACCACTCATGCGTTGCCATTCCGAAGGACTAAGATGTATTACCTCTATATGTTCGTTGCCATTTTGTAAATTTATAAAAATATAACTTCCAGCTTGAATACTTCAGTCGACACCCGCGGGGTTTGAATCCAGTGCAACTCAATGATGTGTTCTTCTCGCTGCATGCTGCTTTCGCGACACTTATCACCATCACTCAGTGCTTCTTATATGAGGTCAGTACGCCTTTACGGAGTAAAAGTATTAATAATAATAATAAACCAGGATTCCAGTATCAGGATTCATATAGCGCCATCTAGACCCAAGATAAGCAGAGATTGTGTTATGCGTATTAGACAGGTGATATATTTTTTGTAAATACATACATAATATATATAAGAAACACCCAGACCAATACAAATTATCATACACATGTTTATACACTAAGACGGCTAAACATCCTGTTATCATCTGACTTCCGCATTACCACTCATATGTATAGATAATAATGCATCTGGTTATAAATGAAAGCAAATTATTTTTATAAATTTTTGTCCTTTACAACTTATTAATTAATAACAAATAAATAAACAGATATTATTTTACTCTAATATTCAGTCATTAGTAAAGACTAAATATTCTATATATTTAGTAAATATTCTATGATATGATGAAATCCATATTTTAATTGCACTTTTTAACATATGTGAGAACATGACGTTTTGTGTACATAATTAAATAATTACATAGTATATATTTAGTACAGGACATCTGTGTTTGTTTTTTAAACAGACGTTGTTTCAATTGACGCATTTTTAACGTCAGTGGCTAGAGGGCATTGTTGCAAGTTGATAGTTACTGGTAGACCACATTAATTTTATAGAAAAACTAGATGATCCCCCAAGATAAGCAGAGATTGTGTTATGCGTATTAGACAGGTGATATATTTTTTGTAAATACATACATAATATATATAAGCACTAAGACGGCTAAACATCCTGTTATCATCTGACTTCCGCATTACCACTCATATGTATAGATAATAATGCATCTGGTTATAAATGAAAGCAAATTATTTTTATAAATTTTTCTCCTTTACAACTTATTAATTAATAACAAATAAATAAACAGTTATTATTTTACTCTAATATTCAGTCATTAGTAAAGACTAAATATTCTATATATTTAGTAAAACGTTGCCAACATATGTGAGAACATAAAAATGCTATTAAAAAATAGGTATTGACGCTAGAATGGTAAAAATTCAGAGTTGTATGATATTTTTAATGCCACATTATAAAAAAAAAACAAGAAAATAAAATTTTGTCCAATAATGAAAAAAAAAATTAAGGGATAGACAACCCTTATCACTTAGGGTTATGAAAAATAGATAGTAGCCGATTCTCAGACTGAATATGCATACTACTATATATTATGTTTTATTACATTTCTGGTGCAATAAAGAGCTAATAAATAAATAAGTGCTAACTCTTATAAAACAAAATACTAATTGGTGTGTGGTAAAACTAAATCTAATTACTTATTGCTCTGTGGTTTCAGCGAGAAGACCAGCGTGTGTCGATGACCGGCCGCGGTATACTGGGAGTGTTTGGCTTGGTAGTGGTGGTGTCAGCAAGTGTTGCTGCCGCTGGTCACCTCGCCGTGCTAGATTTCCTCTACTACTGCAGTTACATCAAGCTCTCTATTACGCTTATCAAATACGTTCCGCAGGTGAGTGAATTTATTTATATTACTCTAGTTACACATGGTTGACTATATGTATAATAACAACAACGAGTGGTGCAGAGAAAGATTGAATTTAGTGTTGCGATCTCATATCGGAAATAGAAAAGGAAATAAAAATATTATCAAATTTAAATACTAGGTAAAAAATATATCCGAAATAAATTAATTCGACAAATAACACATTAAAACATAGACACCCACATATATAACACATTCAAAGATTTCACAAAGAGACGTCTTATATCGGCTAACTTAAATTAAGTATAGTATGTACTATAGGTACATGTCATAGATTATATTGGAAAATACCCAGCCCTACTTAATACAAACGGAATATGCTTGTGAACACAAATGTGTATGTAATTCTGCCGAAGACAATGGTGGGGACCATTGTCAAAGTAAGGCAATCGACTGTTAAACCGCTATATCATAGAGATCTTCATTTAGTCCATAGATTTCGGTTCGTTGGTTTGGTTGACTATTTTATAATGACGATATTGATGATTTCCTCCTTATCGTAAATCTGATAACAACTACTTATTAATGGTTTCTGCGTGATTGTTGTTGTTGTTGTTCTCATGCGATTTTGTGTATTAAAACTCATATCTTAAATCCTCTAAGGATCTGGTAATAAATTGGGTACAAGACTAGATGTGTATGTATAAAAAAAATGTTTCACTGAACACTATTTTTTTTATGTGGATAATGGAATGGTGCACCCGCCTGCGCTAACGGTTTACGCTGCCGGGGCACCAGTGGAGGATGTTAAAATGAGCATGAGGTCAGGTCAGTTAGCCCACGTGACAAATTCACCAAGAATTTATTACGATGGTTTCCAGGGAGAACCGCGTGGAGGTCAACCTTACATGGTACATTGCTAGCAATGGGGTTATTAGTCCACATTACTAACAATACTCTCCACTCCTCTAGGGGAGTGGAACTATTGGATTCTTTAAGTCTATGGTGAACAGATATCTTCTGGATAAGTGCGCTACATCCTAGGTCTCGCTATCATGTCCCACCAGATGAAGTAAGATGAAGCGCTAACCCTTCAATATATAATATGAGTCTGCAATATGAGAGTCAGTTTCCCATGCTTGCGGTTTTCAATCTAACTAGTGGTCATATAAAAAATGTTATATTATATACCGTTTTCAGGCATACATGAACTACAAACGAAAGTCAACAGTGGGCTGGTCCATCGGCAACATCTTCTTGGACTTCGTAGGCGGATTCCTCTCTATCCTGCAGATGGTGCTCAACGCGTACAACTACAACGACTGGGTGTCGTTCTTCGGAGACGCCACCAAGTTCGGTCTGGGCCTGTTCAGCTTGGTCTTCGACGTGTTCTTCATTTTGCAGCACTATGTGTTCTACAGGTGGGTTGGGTACAGTTTGATTGGGGTTGCCATGTCTCATATAAAAAGATTTTTTATTCACATTTAATTAATATAGGTTTCTACTATTCTATATTAATTCTGAAAATTCAATACTCTAAGATTATAATTAGAGAGTAAATTACGACAGCTAAGATGAGTATTGACATTTTAGCGGTGCCCTCAGACCATAGTCTTATCAATCAAGCAGGAGTTGGCCATCAGCCACTCCATAAGTACTTTAGCGTGTTTCGAGTGCCATCTGCACCAGCTGCCATTTTTCTGACGATGAAGCTGTAGAAGCTACGGCCAACAGATCGATTATATATCGACCTAATGTATATTACGTCAAATATTCAATTATATGTTAAATTACAATTCTATATAATTAATAATATAGGATAGATTCGATCTACATTTATCGTCACTATCTTACAAAACGTGACATAAACATATTATGATACTAACTGTGCCTGCGGTTTCACCCGCGTTAAATTTCAATATAAAATATAGCCTATGTGTTATTCTGATGCATAAGTTACTGTAGTTTCATTAAAATCCGTTTAATAATTTTTGGGTGAAAATGTAACAGTAATAAACATCCATTCTTACAATTTTTTTTTTTTAAGTATTTTTTTTATTTATTATCTTAATATTATTAAGATTAATGGCCCACTCTTGGACACTGTTAGTTGTCATATTTTTATTTAATTTTAATGGGTATATTGACATTCCTGATATGTGTCTATGTTTCTAATGTAACATATGTTGAAATGAAACTCCTCTCATTAGACGAGGATAATAATTATTATTGTATCATCCAGCACTGCTTCTGTCACCAAACGCAAACATCTATCGAGCATTGAATTTGGTCTTGCGTCATATCAATTTTAACTTAAATCAATGTTGTAGTACAACTACAATAATGTAGTTGTAGTACAATATTATTTGCTTGAGTCATTCACCAAAGAGAGACTTTGTTCAAAGTTGTCGTCATAGTTAACTCTGTCTGACCTATTACTGCTTTCAAGGAGTAGTTTTGGTTTAAGGGGGTGACGGCTGTGAAATTACAGATTATGGATGAATACTTAGTAACTTAGTTCTCTCTTACATTACAACGGAGATTCTAATATTGTGTGTTATATATATATATAACACACAATATTAGAACATTTACAAAAAATGTAGTCATAAAATATGGACACATTGAACACACCCGATATAAATAATTATAATCATGCAAACATATTTGTACCCGCTACCATTGAAAGTAAGAGAGTTTCCTAAACCACTTAACTACTGAGGCCATTTAGTCCGCCATCCATTTATTATTTACTTGTTATGAAGGCATAATTACATTTGGGAGTTGGGTCACTTACTCAATTGACCTAACTCCCAAAAGTTTCAAAATGGTGATTTATGTTCGCATCTAGTTTTCACTTTGTGTCGACGTCATTCAATGTAACATCTAAGCTTTCAATGTATTCACATTACATATTACGTAGGAAATTATAAAATAAAAAAAAACAAGTACGATCTCAATATTAGAATATACGACTGGAATATATGACTTAATTTATAATATATATTATCGATTTTACTGGGAAATTATACCATGGCAACCCCGTAATATTATTTTTTTTCTTTGGTGACTGGTGATCTAATATAGTCAATAAAAAGCCTCACTATCACTAACACTCTACTACTACTATTCTATACATTTCATTTCTTTTCCTATACCTATAATGTTATCGTAAAAAATAATTGAAGATCCAAGAAATCAGTTTCATAGTACTCACTGATGGACAAGGATTGCATGAAATATTGTTGAAATGCCATTAAAAAAGATGGAATCATTTTTAAAATTGCACGTAACTGGATGAAATGAAAATGCAATGAAACGCAATAAATTTCTAAACGAAATAAGAAAAAGAGCAATTTGAAAATCGAATGTCTGATAAGCTGTTTGCTGTCTGCTGTTTGAAAAAATAATAAAGATCAAAGGAATGACTGCAATTGGATGATACAAAACGCATATTTATAAACACAATTTAAGACGAAATTAAACAGGAAATAAACAGTATTACAACAATCTGAACAAACTACACATTACAACAATCACAAAAGAATATTATTTGTAATTTAATTATATAAAAATTACAAACAATATTTTAGCACCGCTTCGTTGAGTGAATAATGACGCTTCGCTTTTTAGCGGTAAAATGACGACCGCTTGAATCACAGCACTGGGGCTTCTACACTTTTTTTTAACACTTAACTTAAAGGAAAACTATTTTGTGGTTGATTATTTCAGAGAGGGCAAGGAATTTGTTAAAGTAGAAAATAGTGATGAAGGTGGTGATATCATGAGGAGGGGTGATGGAAGCGATTACTTTTTGGTGAAAATGTGGTATGTATCAGGTGATATAAATCAAGTAACCGGCTGTAAAATTGCAATTATTGTAACTAGTATAAATATCTAGTACTTTAAGCTGTTATCTATCGCTTTTCAATCTTGTAGTTAGTAAATATTTAAATTTTTACAAGAACGTTTAATAATCTATATTTTTTTTCTAGGAATGCCAACGAAAAGAAGTACGACGTGAATGGAAAAGCGTGATGAAGAAAATCGCTTACTCAATAGTTTCTCCGCCATATTCATTAACCAAGTTTATATATTTTCATTTATAAGTGTAAATAGTCTATAATAATGATTTAAAAATGTAATTCCACCAGAATCCTTAGAAAGCAAGAATCATAACTTCCTAAGACTGATTACTGTACAAACTACGATCTGCTTTAAAAACTTTAAAAATGTCTATGGGTATTAATGAGAAATTAAAACTGTTACTATTATAGATCATATTTATACGGTATTAAGGTGTCAATTGTTTGTTAAATTATTCGTTATGCAATGACATAGTCATATTTGTTTCAATGATCTGTGATGCATTCACACATTTTATATTAAAATGTGTATAAATTGTTCACTGGCATTTTTGTTTTTGATCCTATCCACAGTATTTGCATTTATTTTTAATTTAAATTGATATCACTATAATCACAATGTTGTTTAGTCCTTTTCCTAACTAATTTCCCAATGAAAAAAAATAGATGTACATTATACACAATTAATGATTATTATCTATAAGAGTAATTTTAATAATGCAATTGTTATCACACTCGAATTTCAAATAGTATATGCACCTTTTGTAATGGCTGATATACCTAGTTTATAGGACATTTCTTCTATATTAAAACAATAAATGAATCTTGGTTTGGCAGTGTTTTATTTCAGTAGTCTATGTAATATAAATACTTAGTAACCTATTTTATACACATTTTGTTACATAATTGGAATGGTAAACAAGCTGACGCCTTACCTTATGTTAAGTGGTAGATATATACATGAACAGCACCACGGACATCACGTTATCATGTGCAGCCGGTGATGTCATTTAAGGCCTTTTCGGAATTGCCTTTTCGGAAAAGTATCAATACTTTTTGTTCATACCTCAATAACCTGTTATATAAGGCTTCAACTGAAACACAGCTTACTTAAACAAGCTGCTTGACTTCTACACCTTTTTAAAGGTCGCAATCGACTTTTCAAAGTCTTTGGTCTAGATCTAAAATGGCAAGAGCTCCGTCGACAAGAGCGCGGCTCTTAAATTATGAATGAATGAATCTCAGTCTACCTTCAATTACCAAATTAGATTATAACTGCAGTAGTAATAACAATTTGTCTTACTATGTGACGTCATGACACATTTACATGACAATAGGTCAAGGGTTGTCAAAGTTTTATGCTCCTAAATGCTGAGTGTGTCTGCCTATTGTCTATATATTATTATTATCCATTAAACGATTGAAAGGATCTTAAGGGAACTACGCGTTGACGTAAGATACGAGGACAGGTCTAGGTTGTTCTTTATCTTAAAAATAGCTGACGAAGTCTCAGATAGTAGTCTACGACTAAGTTATATAAAGATTAGTAAATTATAAACTGAAAGTTAATGGATGAGACTAAGACTTACCTTTTATCGATTACTAGCTACTTCGGCCACGCACACATGTACATGTACTATATATATAAACAATCCTCTTGAATCATTCTATCTATTAAAAAAACCGCTTCAAAATCCGTTGCGTTGTTTTAAAGATTTAGGCAAACATAGGGACGGACAGACAGCGACAGCGACTATGTTTTATACTATGTAACGAAACAACTGAAAGGATCTTAAGGAAATTTAACGTAATATACGAGGACGAAGATAAACTATATTTAATATGAAAAAAAAACCCGGCGAAATCGGAATTTCGCCGGGTAATATTATATAATATGATCCCAAAGTCCCGGATAATCTTATATATAAAATACAGTTTTCGTTCCCATACTCCTCCGAAACGGCTTGAGTTTTTGTGAGCGTATAAGAGATCGGCCAACATCTATTTTTCAACCCCCTACATGTTAGGGGTAGTTCACGCCTAAATTTTTTAATTTTATTTTAAGGCAAAACGACGTTTGCCGGGACAGCTAGTATTATATAATATGATCCCAAAGTCCCGGATAATAATGGAATAAATAGAATTCAAGACAGAGTTTATAAATGAAACTATACTACTGAACTACATTGAATAAAGATTAGTAAAAACCAGTCTGGAACTTAAAGGATGAGACTAGGATTTAGCTATATTGTGTTTTTTCATATCTACTCATCGATTAGCATACAAGAATAATAATATATCTGTCGTGTTTGGGATTCCATCTATCTATTTTACGATGATTATAATTAGCAATAGGGTACATATAATTAGAATGGTAAACAAGTCGACGGTATCTAGTACGAAGTGGTAACTGCCACTTACAGGAATGAACAATACCACAGATATCACAATATACAATGGTGCTAGTATAGCTGACATAGCAATTGCTTTTCAAACAGCAAAGTACCTAGCGGCAGTAGTAAGTGAGATAGGACTTCTATCTTCATTTATTTCATAGCAAGAAGGAGTGTAATAATTTTTTATATATAATTTGCAATAAAATTATTATAAATAATAAAGAGGTACGAGTCCCACGACTTGCATGGTGACAAAGTATTTATGATTAATGATGCTCAATTATCATAATAATGTATAATATATAGTGTCGTGGGGCGGCAGAAAACAAAACACGAAGTCTATGAATTTCTAAGCTCTGATGTAGTACGTTTTACCATACGTTGTAAGTAATAGCTAATAATTCCTTCCCTATCTTAAGACCTGAAAAACTCGGAATCAAACTCATATTAAGCTGCTCGGAGCGTGGTTATAGCATAGTCATTTCTAGCACTTAGGCACAGATTTCTGGATTGGAATGAAATAATGATTAGATATGGATCTATAATTATAAATTTATAATGTGATAGATGTTACCCGGTATATTGTTATTGTAGAATATTATAGAATCGAAATGTTCAAATACGTTTTCACGGCAAACCTACTGCGCGACCTACTATGTGGCGAAAGTGCGAGCTGGAGATACTATTATACAATATGGTATATATGTGACCAATAATATACGAACAAACAAATTTATTTTCATTTATATATATATATGATATAAAAATATATCTGACCTATATTTTATTTTGGATTCTAGTATTGTAACTACTTGGTTCCTACATAGGTAACAGAACAAACGGAATCGTGAAATTTAAAAGAGAATAATTTAAGAAATATACTCTATAATATGCCTATATTATATGTGGACTTCACTTGTAGTTATAAAATATTTAGTTTAGTTATAGAATCTTCTTTTTTTCTATTTACAGGGAGTCCCGTTATATATTACTGCCTGGGTCGAGCATAGACAACGAAGATCCGAACATTGATACACCAGATGGCTGGGCTCCGTCTGCTGAGACCCCATATCAAACAGTGAACGGCCTAGTTACAAATTTGAACCAGATCCTGAAGTGATAAAGTTCAAAATATAATTCCAGAAGAAGAACCAAGTATGAGGTTTCGTTTATTGGAGACTAAATAGACAAATAACCGGATGTGAAGTCCAAGCTGTCTATAGCAGGCTGCAATGTAACCACAGAGTAAACACGCATACTTTTACTTAGTTACTTTGTACCAAGAAGAGTATGACGTATAAGATATCCCGGATGATTTACTGTATGGAAAAAGATGTAGCATAATAGGTACATGAAGGTCGATTACAATTTTTTTTATTATTTTATGTGTTTAGCGATATGTTATATTAGAATTATCATCAGAATAATTCTAATTGGAGTACGTGTAGTACTCTAACTTTATGTAGTGTACTTACCGTAGACAGGCTCTAACTTTTTCCGAACGGCAAATATAGTAGGTACCTACCAGAGACTAGGACATTGTGACATCATTAAGAACAACGTGTTAAGTTGGATCCAGCTTAGCTTCTACTGTTACTGCAGCTGACTAAACGAGGTTTCCAAAAACATTACATATGTAAAAACTAAGTGGAAAACGGACTATTAGGATCACATTTAATTTTTGATGTTGCATTGAAGTGATTTTACATCAGTTAATATTTTGCGCTTTTTAATCCAGTGCTACGCAGAACATTATCGTATATAGTGACATTTATAATATATGTACGAAAAAGACTGAGAAAGTGATGTACCTAATGTGTAGGTATAGTAAATTAAGTGTACTCAAGACAATAAATTTAGTTTATTTAGTTTTTTTTACCTAATATGTATTATTTTTAATAAGGTAACGGGAAGTATTTATAAGTACTAATTATTGCACTAATATACAACAAAACTATTTCTGCATATTTTAAATGAGGAACAATAAATTATTAGATTAAACAAAATGTTCCATATTTCAAAATATGACGAAAAAGTTTTTAATTGTAAAAACTTTTTCGTCATATTTTGAATAATATTCTACATTCGTATTTCGAAGACCTATTAGTATTATGTTGTATATTGTTCATTTTCTACATATTATCCTAATATTCCTAGTTATATAAAAATTGCTTATCATTGTTATATAGGTATGTACTGACCCATTTATTCATAGCAACTAAAATTGCCTACAAACGCTTTTTAACAATTGAAATGTTTTGTCACTATCATTCAAATGAAGAAAATAGTTTGTAAGAAACGAACAATATATGTCATCAATTATTGAGACATTGAACGTTTTTATGAATAAAGGGGCTGAACTTTTTTTTTGATTACAATCAAATTTATGTAATGAGTGTAGGGACGATTCCTTATCATATAGCAGACTTTGTAAGAAGTCTACCAGCATCCCTCAATCTCAATCTCACTTATTTTAGCCGCGAAACAGTTTACTTTGTAAAAGCTGTGTTTCAGCTGAAGTGTGGAGTTAAGGCAGTGAAATTACTGGATGTATAGGGATAACATATTAGTCATCCGAAATGGCGACGCATGAGTGGTATCACAGTGGTATGAATGGTATATTCATGTATGTAGACGACGATTACCACTCACCATCAGGTATGCCGTTAGCTTGTTTGCCATTCCAATTAAAAAAAATAGCATTCAGTCGTTGACAATACTTTCGGAAAGCAATATATTAAATGTATAATGTGCAATTACTAACTGTATACTAAATATAAATTATATAAATGTAATGTAAAATTGTGTATTCGACATTCATAGGATTATTTGTATGCTAATATAATTAATTGTTATGTTAAATATAATTATGATTAATAATTAATGACAGGTTAGGGCTCATTCACATATGTTAAGTAAATTCCATTGACTATTCGCAATAACCATAAATGGTTATGTTGGGTTTTCAGATTGTTATAATACATATAAAACATTCTAATTGTATTTAAACTTATTTAATCGTAAATAAGGCCTGTTTGATTAATTAATGAGCCTTAATAAATGACTAAAAACACAAATGTCTATAATTGCATAAAGGATTCATTTTGTTATTACCAAAATCAATGGACCACAACAAAAATGGTAATATATTTATGTATGCTTCGTCTTTGTATGGATGAGCCCTTAGTTTAATTTAATAATAATAATTGTTTAATTAATAATAATTGTAACAGGTAACGGGTATGTATTTAAGTACCTTAAATTTTAATAAATAAACCATGTTTATTTGAAATTTTACGTTTTTACGAATGATAATAAAATTTTATCAATTATCCTAGAGATAAAATTTTGTATTCATTTACGAAATTTTGTTTTAAATCTATGCAACAAATTAATTTGTCTAATGAAACTTTAACACACTGCATTATATTATACACTTGATTAAATATATATTAACAATTGTATGTTGTTTTAATGCCCATGGGATAATAAAACGGTATTGTTAGTAATGAGGATTAATTAACCATTTGCTAGCAGTGTACGATGTCAAATTGACCTCAACGTTGTCCTCCCTGGAAACCAACGTGATAAGTTCCTGGTAAATTTAATTGGTCACAAAGGGCTAACTGCCTGACCTCATGTTCATGGTGTCATCATACTCAGGTGTCCCACCAGCGTAAACTATTAGCATAGGCGTATGCAGCTTTCCTTTATATATATAACTATTTTAAAAAAATGTGAAGGTATATTACTACTATGTAACTTTTTTAATGGATGATAATAGAATGTTACACCCGCCTGGGCATACGGTTTACGCTAGCGCCGCGTGGAGGTCACCCTGTCGTGGTACCTTGGGGGGTTATCAGTCCACATTACGAACAAAACCCTACCCCCTCCTTCATCAATATTATTCTAAATTGAAAAATTCAAGGTAATGTCAATTGTGGTAAACACAACACTTGACATGCCCACTTTTCGCTGGGTAAATATTTAAATCCACCGTGGTAGTGGGTAAGCCTATAGCCATCTCGCCGTTTAATAATGATTTGATAGGGGTGTTTCCATCTCTGGTGAATTAGTTAGAAATATAAGTTTATTTTAGTTTAGGTATTTGTGAAATAAATAACTGAATCCTCAATCTTCGGCACATATGTGGGAGTAGTTATTCAGGTTCTTGCCAATTCTTCTCAACTGAAGTAGCTCGTCGAACTGTATGGTGTAGATTTTGTTTAAAAATATAACGTGCACAAGATGCCGAAAGGTTCTATATCCACTAAACCACTTTCTTATCTCTCTATATTAAAAAGGTAATAATAGACAACATTTGCTTAAATTATTTTAAAATGTAGAGAAAATCTGTTAATACACAAAATATTTTTATTTTTCTTTAAAGCTGACAAGGTAAAGATGCGCAAATATTTTTTAATGTGGCAAACAAGGTTGTTTTGATTACTCGCTTGATGGAAAGTGTTAACCATCACCTATATACATAAACAACATCACAGGTATAACAAAATTGTGACTCATTAAGGTCGGATACAGCTTATTAAGGAAGATACTTCTTTCCAGAGGATTTTGTCTTTAAGAACTTGAATTTTTTGAAGTTTTGTCATAAATGATAATGGAATGGTGCACACGCTAGCGGTTTCTGCTGGCGGGGCACCAGTGGAGAATAATAAGATGAATATGAGGTCAGATCTATTAGCCCATCGTGACAAATTCACTAGGAATTTATCATGATGGTTTCCAGGGGGAATCACGTGTGGAGTACAGGTTGAACTCCACGTGATTCCCCCTGGAACATGGTATATCATGGTACATTGCTGGGAATGGCGGTTATTTACAAAATCACCTTTGTCAATTTGTTTGTTTAGATGAACGCGCTAATCTCAAAGACTACTGGTTTAAAATTAAAAATTAATTCACTACTGGATAGTCCATTTATCGGGGAAGGCTATTTAAGACATCCTGATATAATACATTGTTAGCAATGAGGCTGCTATCCCCGTTACTCACAATCCCCTACCCCCGAATTTAAGGGATTCATTGGATCCCACATATTTCAGCAGCTTGTTTAGTATATTGTATATCAATTGAAAGGCGATAGGGTTATGATGCCATGAAATTGGACAGTTCAGAGGTATGACATCTTAGAGCCCCATGGAATGGCAAGGCATACGTGCCACGGGTAACGTGACTTGCAAGTATAGACGACGTTTGCCACTTAACGTCAGGTTATTTCTTATTCCTGTTGTATAAAAAAATATTTAATGCTTTTAATAAATTTTAGGTATTTTTCTTCACAAATTCTATCATGACCTCGATTTTTTATAAAAGCAATTTTTTGATGCTTTTTAATACAAATATTTGTATACAAACAAATTGGCACATCGACCTCCCTTCACACTGTATTTATTATAATTAGATCACTAGATGGTAGATCACTGGTAGGTACTTGGCTTATTGCCAAATCATTTTGGTATACCCGGAATTAGATTCGCACCTATTTGGTTTTTTTATGTTTGACAAAAGTATAAAGTCTCTCACTTCGCGTTTCCCCTCATTTTTCTTCGAATCTCTTCTTTGTGCCGATGATTTAAAGATTATACTATTATTGCATATATACTCTATCACTCATGCATATAATAGGTACAAATTCTCTAAGTTGGTTTGGGACTACTTGGGGCTGTGTAACATGTTTGGTTTCACACTATAGATAAATGAAAATATAAATATCTGTAGAAATTCTTGAAATAATATTGAAAACAGTATTAAACTCCCTTGCAGTGTTTACAACATAGAAACATAGACAGACAAAAACAAAGACCTTAATTTACCACTATATGTAGCTACGTATTATTTTGTTAAAAAAGGTAAATTGAATTGCAAAAATGCACATACATTATGGAGGTTGCTGTAACAGGTAATATTTATTATCTACAATGCAGCCCTGAAGACAACGTACGTCCTACATAGTTAATATATTTGGTGCTATGCATAATAAATACTTATTAGTTTTACAATGAAACCTAACTATAGGTATCTTCAGGTGACCTTTCTCCTTGTAATTCACTAAGCGTTCGATGGACGTGGAAAATTTAAACAATCCGGTGTTTTCGTAGCGACTGAATAAATATCTGAGACTGATCGTGTTTGCTGACTGACGTCCTCGGCTGTGGAGGTATGCCTCGTTCAATGTCAGTGGGATGGTGGTGTTAGACATATACCTTATATCATTATACAAATAATGTGTATATTAACAAACTTCAAAGTCGGGAAGTCTTTTAATTCGACTATATTTTTTTAATAAAGATTCCTTTTGAAAACATAAAGTATCTCTGTGTTCATTTTTTACAAATTTTGTTATAAATTAAGTGTTTTAATTGCAGATTGCTCTTCAGGGGTGATGTTTAATTTTAAAGATTTAACTACTTAAAGATTTTTAATTTTACTTTCCATGGTGGTCCCATTCCACAAGGATTTTTCAATTTTAGTTTTAAATTTTTATTTAAATCGGGCAAAATTAACTATTTATGTGTGAATTTTTCACGTAAAAGCGGATAAGGGAATAAGGATGAAACATTTACAAAAAAAGTAGATATGTTGCTAAATACGAGTTAACATGTTGTTAAATATAAATGTTGTTAAATAGTGGCAATAGTGACCTGAAAAAATATCTACCCCACTAAGCCATGAAATTATTATTATTATAGTCAATATTTTTCAATAGTTAAAGTAAATAAATAAAGTTTTAAAAGTAATTAATAGTAAATGTTTGAAAATATTGTTCTTTATGTTTAAAAATAGGACAGTATTTGACACCGTACAAAAGCGTATTAACATCGTTTTGTATAAAGGATCTTTCAGTTTACTTAATCTTGGTGGTGCAACTCCACGAGATTTAGGGAAGGCAATTGTTAATATAGGAGAATAGTGGACCCATCGTCAGCAATGTATCATATCAAATCCGCGTTGAACTCCACGTGGTCCCCCGGAAACCACAACAGCAACTGCAATTCAGTTAACCTGTTCTTCATACTCATCCCCATCACCTTCCACTGCTCCGCCATTGTATATATTTACCATAGGATGCTGAGTAATATCATTATCATTCACAAAAAAAAACTGTACTAAATTTAATAAAACTTCTGAGGCAACTGTATAGCAGAGTATGGAAAACTCCAGCCGTACCCAGTCGTCCTCCAAACAACAACCGTGGAAAAACGAATGTATAGCAACCCTAAGTATGTTCCATGATAATCACAAAAACAAAACGTGAGAGAAAATATTAGTGGAACGCGCGAAAAACTTGCACGAGACACAGTATATAGTGAACCGTCGCAGTATACTCACGCGATCGACGCGGCCGGCTGCCATGCGTCGTTTCGCGTAACTCTATTTTTATACGTATTTTGTACATCACCAAAAGTGGCCTTATAATTGTTTAGCATAGTAATATGACATATTCCTACAAGTTATCTTCTGTGATATTATAGTAAACTATCGTTACTAATAATGGCGGACGAAAAGTGAGTAAAATATTTAAAATATTTTAACTTTTAAGCGAATAAACCATTATGGATATATTTTGAGTTAGGTTAACACGTGTGACAATCGTGAGCAATTCAATTTAATGTGCAATTTATCAATGTGTAATTTATCATCTTGATATATCCTAAGTCTTTGTTATGGACGATAATGGAATCGTGTTCCCGCTTGTGCTAATAAATAGACTCTACCATCAAAGGATAGTAAATAGGATAAGAATGAAGTCATTTAACCCATAGGTGGCAAATTTATCCGAAATTAACTACGATGGCTAATAAGGAGCAAGTTAATTCATATTGTCTTCAATAGTAATAATCCCCATCGTTCCTATAGGTAGAGTTTCGAGAAATCTCATCAGTTATTAATAAAAAGAATCTGCCTTTTAAGTTTTAATCATGTATAATTTATAATTCCTGTGTATGATAATAAAAAACTGAATATATTAATGATTTCCACATAGCTGGGTAACATACATTTGGAGGTAAGCAACCTGTCGCGTATTTTTGCCGCAAAACATGCGGCCACAGAGTGAACACCGGCGTCGTGCGTATGTAAAATATATATGTATAGGTACGACATAGAAATTAAATATATATTACTGATGCTGATTGTCCACCTATTGAAAAATAATCATCGCTTTTACAGATTAACAACGACAAACAGAGACTGAATGTGACATATTACAAATTAAGAAGTTTTGAATTAATTAATATCTTTATTTGAATATACGTATGCATGGATTGTATGTAAGAGGATTTAACAATATTCTATCTGATAACAGGCAAACAAAACAGTAAATTATACTTATTAACCTACTTAACAGAACATACAAATAATAAATAATTAGGTTTCATAGACAATTAATACCTACATCATAGTTAGGTGTTGCAAATATTAATATAATTTATAATTTGATTTTTATCAGTAATTCTCTTAGCGAATACTTACGTATTATTTTACAACAAAATTTGGAGGCTTTCGTACTAATTGATGTTTAAATAAAGATGATTTATTATTACCTACTAAAACTTTAAGTTTTTATTATTTCACTCAACCAATACCGATTAACTAGATATAATGTATATATATTTTTACTCATTTAGTTTACTTTAATAAATCTTTTTTACGACGACGATTTGATTGATATCAAATAGTGAAATCGTCGACTATTGACTATTAATATTTTTTATGCATTTTGCTGCATGTTCATTATTTTATTATGCGGTATATATACCCACACTATTAAAGTTATTTCGTTAATTAAAGAATTTACCGTTATCAGAAATTATATATTTTACACTGTCTCTACCTTTACATGAAGTTTATTACAATTCAAATCAAAAAGTTTATGGCCACGATTTCTATTGTGATTTATCGTGTTTGTAATAGCACAGATAACTATCGTCACTTTCCGACTAAGAAGATTTTATAAATATTCGAAATCCTCGTCCAAATATGGATAATTATAGCTAATTCGAGTACCTACAATAAATAAAAAACACGTTTATTAGACGCAGAAGCGATTGATTGCAACACACGTGTATCACTATAAATAAAAGTTTTGTTATGGACGTAGATAAAAAGTCGCAAGAGGGGTATTACATTATTTACTATCAATGTATTATAACGAGATTAAGTATTTTTTGTGTACACTATACACTATACATACACATCAACGTCCTCGGTAGTCTAGCGGTTCAGCACACAGCGGTTTAGCTTTACTTCCGATAGTCGCGGTTCGATTCCTGGCATGGTATAAACATTTGTATTCATAAATATTTTAATTTGTATCAGCTTGGGTTTTTTCTATGTATGTTCATTATTTACAAAAAAAGCTATTTAAATATTTCTATCAATTGTCTAGTACCCTAATAGCTCTGTTTAGCTTGGGAATTGTTGAGGGATATTATTATTAATACACGAATCTATCTATTTGACATATTTATGTAAATCATATACATAGTAGAAATAGTGTCAAACATTTCAATACTTTTTTGTCTAATTATAATTATTGTACAAAAGATGACCGTTAAACTCTTTATGTGTGTCGAAATATCTTGAATGTATTCCCAAATTGTGATACAACTTATATGAATACTTTAAGTCGAAAGTCATCACTCCCTTGCAGTTTGAAATATACGCTGCATTACCATGTCGTCACGATTTGAAGACATTTTCTTCTATAAAACGTGTAAAATCTTATATTAATTGGAACAACGTCCAAATCCAGAAGAAGATAGGTATAGAATTGTCGTGTGTTGCCAAAATTAATTCTGAGCACTTTGTTCTGTGGCAAGGTTAAGGGTATTGGGCTAACAGCCAATTCCTTCCCGCAATCTCACTGTATTGCATCCGCGAACTGCATGACACGGTCAATAACCTTTGTCATTAATATTATATTAATATATGACAAATAATATAAATGTATATCAATTTATTTAAATAGTTTTTAATACGGTACTGTTTTCCTTATAAATAAAAATAAAAGAAGCCAAAAAACAAATCCATAAAAAAAATCCAGGAATAATTCCACAGCGCCTTCTAGATCCAAGCTAAACAGAGCTTTTGTTATGAGTATTAAAATACGGATAGAAATACTTAAATATTAGTTTTGTAAATCCATATACATAGAAAACACCCATACCAATAGATACAGTCGTACTTACGAATACAAATATTCGATCCCTGCGAATAATCGAACCCACGACCATAGGAACTAAGGACCATAAGATAGTGTGCTAAACAGCTAGACCATCGAGGCCGTCTGTCCGTCTACACACATAATTAATTGATAACAAAGACATTATAATCATTTTAATTGACAGTTAAGTAATTGTTATTGAGTATTACTTGGTCAATTGTTACATGAGTGATGAGATAAACAGGTAACAGAGATAAGTTGGTAAGTGATTGGTACCACGTTTATATATTTTTTTAATTACGGTGGATAAATCATTACAGCATTATCATTGCGATTGCTTATAGCTTTAAGATTGAATTTTCAGTGCACCTTCTAGGTTTCATTTTTTAGTACACAAAGTAGAGTTATTATCAGTATTTATCATTGTATATTAAATTATTATTTTACCTAGACAGCTCACATCATCATTTAATTATAAACTACATACTAAGCAAGCCTCGCATGGACGACAGGGAGCGAGTGCAAATGGCACTCCAAACCCGCGGGATAACTTATCGAGAGGCTGAAGGTTAACTTCCGCCTGATAGATACGGCTCTAGTCTGAGGGCACCACTGGCGGTTCGAATCTCGGCTCAGGCTGGTGTAATTTCGATCCTCATTTGAATTGGGCGGGGGATCGATGGGAGGGCATATATTATATTATTAACATAAGTAGCAGAATCTATATCAAGGGAGACAGGATCAGGAGTTAAGTTATAACACTAAATAACAATTAAAATAATTACTTGAAATGTAATTAAATATCACTATTTAATGTTACTATTTATCGATACTGTTGTATATTGCTTCATATATACTTTGAATATTTGATCTGACGTTTATTAGCATGGAAATGACATATCGTTTTTATTAGTACTTCGTTTGCTTTTGTTTTAACAAAATTAGATACTGTAAATGACGTAACAACTACTCAAGCTGAAGTCAGGCGATGCCAAATGTAGCCAACACCAAAATAGTTTCGATGTTTCAAGTTTTGCTATAATTGTAGATAAACGACTAAATGTAAAGATAGACTGTAATACAAGAACATAGGTTATATTTTATTTATACCTAATATTAACTTGGAGGAAGTGAAGTATAGGATTAAGATTTATATATGGAAATAAATAGTTTATCAAGTAAGCAATATAATACTTATAATTAAGATAAACAATTCGCAATACTAATTCTAAGCAGATGAAGTTTCAAGAAAAATATTACTGAATCTGTTAGTATTATTTAGATATTATAATTAATTTGGTAAAAATCTATAAAGTGAAACAGAATTCCCGAACAAATATTTTAAACAATTTAAGTACTATAATATATGACAAGGTGTATAAATATGACTATATATAACTTTAATTCAAATTAAAAAAAATTGTAACGTAATAATCTGTTAATAAAAAAATAGAGCAATTCTTCTAGTGTTACTCTATATATTTTTTTTAATGCTTAAGTGTGTTTTTTTATTACATATTAATTGCAAATATTAAAAAACAACTTCATATTCAAAGGAGCTGGGTACATTCCATGCTCTATCATGAATCTAAAGACAAACGAAGGATAATAGGTCAGTCAGAATCTATAGACATTTGTTTATGCAAATAACTACAAATATGATAAGCTAGAAGTAATGTTTACGTATAAATTGTTATTGCTGTATTGTTCAGGTGTACAAATCAATATCGTAATAAGTAACAAAAATAAATTTTAATACTTTTTTCTAAATAGGTATGTAATTTTATCCCAAATGTTAATGCAAACTTTATTCAAATAACCTTAAATTTTAACCTTTAAATATCTCGTAACTGTCAGTTTGTCTGGTTATGTTCATATTAGATGTTTTTTTTATTTTCTGATATTAGTGATTATTCGCCATGTCGCAAAAAGATATTCCAAGAAATTATTATTTGTTACTTTATACTATATAACCTCATGTCCATCACACCTGTAATGTAGACATTTTTGATTTACACGCTGTTAGAACTTCTCTCCTAATATTCCGATAGTATGAGCATACATTAATGTCATGCGTTGAACATGTGTAACAATTAGGGCAGCCTCTTGTTGTCATCATTACGGTATCTTATCAGTAATGCAGAACATCAAAAGAATCATTTACTTTGATAATGATATGTTACGGTTCGTAAGCATATTTATAGTAATAAAATAGAGTTGTGGTTTGTGATGTCATTTTATATTATTTACTTAATTTATCGATAGGATTGCAAAATACAACTCCACATTTATACTTACACTACTACATACTCAATACTCTCTACCATACGATAGAAAGCG